ACCGGCTTCAGAAGCGAGGGTGGCCTAATTGCAACATGTGCCCCCTGTGCAAGCAAGTCCAGGAATCGGCGGCTCATCTGCTTTTCAAATGCCGCTACACGGTTAGAGTATGGAACATGATTAAAGTGTGGCTTGGCCTTCATGACATTCACCCGCAGAACTGGGCCATGGTTGACACGGTGAAGAGCTGGTGGAGCGCCACCGCTTCCAACACGACGCAATCTCGACGACCGCTTACCTGCCTTATGCTGCTCGTCTCATGGGAAATTTGGAAAGAGCGGAATGCTAGGGTATTTCGTAATGTCGCAGTGCCTGTTAGGGTTTTAGTAGCTAGAATCAAAGACGAGACGGCGCTATGGTGTCTGGCCGGTGCGAAACATTTGTGTAATATCATTGCCGCGAGAGTGATACGTTGTATTTGGCCTTTGGCCAAGACCCCTAAGACTCCTTCTTATTCAATGAAAATGGCAAATCTTTTGCCTTGTTTCAAAAAAAAAAACTACGCGTTGAGGTAGCTGAAATCCTAAAAATGAAAATTGAGTCCAATTGAGTCCTCCTGTACATATCGAAGAAGTTACATGTCGTCACTTGCACGTTCTAAAGGACGTACCCGGTCGCAAAGCTAAGTCAGCCAGTGCTGTCAGGAATGATCAGTAATCAGACATGCAGGCGTCGCTGGGCTTCCAGCAGGAACAACATTTCCTCGGTATTGCTACCTGGTCTTACCGCACGTGTAGACAAAATCTTGCAAACGAACGATGCGATCTCTGCTTTGGATCAGTTCCGATCGATTATCGTCAACGAACCGACCATTCCACCAACCGCTTTAAACCCAACTGATCTCGATCAAACTGCGATATCCAATCTTTTAACACTTCGTGCATAGTAGTATGTCGCAAGCAAAACACCAGCGGCACAAAAAGCACGTATCCTCGGCAATGAATGATCATATCCCACCCTAGTGATTAGCCTAGATACGTCACCGCCAGGTTAATCCACAGACAAAGCACGCACTTGGCCAGTCTGAGCAGAATCGTGAAGCAACGTGTGGGCAAAACAAACAGACAGTAGGTACTGCTACCCCGTACGTGCAGTGACGTGCTTGTTTATGCAGCGCGGCGACAGTAATGGCGCCCGATCGAGGCCCAATGATTCAGCTCCCGTTTAGTTGCGCTCCAGTATATGTATATCGCTGATCAGTGATCCCCTCGTCCTCGGGCAATAATACAGGCGCCCCAGTGTATTACACCACACAACAAAAACAAAGGGAGCGGATCGGCTGCAGCTGTGCCACTCACTCTCGACGTGCGGATGTGGCCTGTAGGATCAGCGCAGAACGCAGAATTATACTACTACTGGTACAATGTACATGCACTGGCATTCTCTCGTTAGAAAATGAGATGCTGGCCTGCTACTTTAGTTTAGCTTAGCGTCGATCGACCCCCCCACATGCTCGATTACGGACGCTTAAGTGCACTTGGTTGGGGAGCAGATCCGCGCGGTGCTCCCCTAATCGTCTCCGCGGAGAATAATCCCCACCAGTCGCTGTCTACTTATGTTGTTGCATACTCATAATACTAATATAGTGCCAGTGTGTTCGATCCAGTGGGATCTGTCATAAATGGGCTGATTTCTTTCAGCTCTCGAGAGAGCAAACTACACATGATTGGATTGGAGTCAACATTCATGCCAGGGTGAAACCAGTTGACGACGGATTTGCAACTTTTGTTCGAGAGATTACAACTTTCGGTGCAAATGGGAGCTATCTTTGGAATGTCTGTACAATTGGACCGCCACTATACCATCAAGTGATCGTAAAACTGTACGTACTACTGTAAAAAACCCAGGTTTGTATCAAGTATCAAGTATTTAGAACGAATCCACAGTTTCAGCTAAAACTAAGTGCGTATGTCTCATACTCCAGTGAGCCTCTGAACTAAAGCGGGAACAAGCAACCTGTCGAAGAAAGCGCACCTCAATCATCAGTGTCTCGGCTTTACTTCCACTTTGTTGACATCGCGGATAAAGATCTTAGTAGCAGGTTCATTCCTGTAAAGTGCAAAACTGGCGGTTAAATTGACGGTTCGGCGGTTCTACCTTGAATGATAGGGGAATGTTCCTATTGTATAGCAAAATTTTGGTCTTACTCTACTTTTCCCCTTTCGTAAGTGTAACTGGATGCAACAGCGAGCAGATTGTTATCCTTGCTGAAAGACAGAGCAGCAATGCTGGTTGGGTACTTGGGGGACTGCAATCGGAACAGAAAAAAAAATCAGATATCCCGAGGTCTGAATTCCTGACACAGAATTAGGATTAGTTTGTTTGGCAGATAAATCGCGGGGCAAGAAAAACCTGAAACAATCTCTTTTTCTTTTCTCCATCCCAAGTGTACACAAATCCATCACATCCGCCCGTGGCGAACGTTCCATGTCTGCATACGTTAGATTAGGCTATTAAAGGAACTGAAAGTTGATGACGGTGTGAGTGCGAGAGAGATGAGGGACATCGTACTCTGAGTGGAATGCAATTGCATTAACAGGATATGCAACCCTCCCTCTGTCCTCGGTCAATCGATGGCACTTGAAACGATACCTGACAAAAATAAACAGGCAATGAAAAACCATAAGGCTAGGTATAAAAAGGTGGAACCGCTTGGCATGAGTGGTTAGCTATATCAAACACAATGAACAATGCCCTAAAAAAAGGTATAAAGGTGGAACACAAGTGACCTTATGTAGAATAAGGAGCCAATTGAGAGCAATGTCAATGCCCTTATCTTTAATAAACTAGCTATTTAGAAAAGGTGTCATCCTTTTGCAACACAGTATATATATACCTCTTTTCGAGACTAGACTCAGATTGGTCAAAGAAGTCCATTGCAACTCGTCCGTCCGTAGTACCCAAAGCAAATCCTACATACAGGTCAAAAATAGAGATTAAATTAAAGGACACTTTGCTGAATGTAAAGAGGCCTAAGAAATAAAATGAGAAATATGCACTAGAGATTAGAGTTCAAGACGATGATAATTACAGCTAGTTTGAGGATGAATACTCCAAACTCAAAAAACTATTGAACTTCCCTTTGCAAGAAAAGTATTGATTATGCTATGTTGTGACTTCAACACCACCCATTGCCCATGGGTAGTATCTTCAAACGTAGGACTAAACTTATACTCCCTCCGTTCCAAAATAGATGACGCAACTTTGCACTAACTTTATACTAAAGTTAGTGCAAAGTTGCGTCATCTATTTTGGAACGGAGGGAGTACAAGGCTAGAGCCCTAGAAAAAACTGAAAATATATCACCAATGTTGATTACTGTTTATAACCATTAATATTATCCTGCCAACGGAATTAGAATGTCAGGTAAGAGAAGGTCCAAAACAAAAATAAAAAACATAGTCAGATGTAACACAGAACGGATGACACCATTAATGTGGATCAACCATTAACCCACGAGGACTAGACAGAAATAGAAGGCGTCCATAGTCAACATAGCGCTGGAGCACTAGAACAATGACGAAACCAATTGAGATCAGTTGCAAATATCTCATTCTGAATCAATATAGATAGTGACGGAAGGCGTTAGCATTATAGTATGAGACTGGAGGGATATCTTAAATTCAGACTTTGCTGTGAATCTTTCATTATGAGATAGACTTGTTTTCTAAGCTCTACTGCTGGAAAATCATATCTTGAAAGAGACACCGAGAAGCTAAATCTTAACGATTATTAAGGAAACAGTAGAAGTTCAAACTTTCCCAACGGGTTGACCTGTTATTGCACCTTTAATAGTTGAATCAAAGATCATAAATCATCCACACCCTTGAACCGTTGAAAGTTACAAACCGAATGGGAAATTCTATAACCATAAGACAAAATGACCATACTTGTCAAGCATCAAGTAGATTAAGAAGCAATGGAGCCAAATGATAATCTATACAAAAACTGATAACAACATTGTTGCATGAATCTCAAACAACCTATCAACCCACTGGTACACAAAAATGATATATGGTTCCATGAAATTTCAAGATATTTATCTATTGACCATGCATTAACACAAGGAAGTTAATCATGTACCAATTTTTATAAGATTCAAGAAACAGTACAAGATAACATTTCTCATGGTGCCTTTCCAAATGAACAAGAAGGGTTCATGCCAAACAAGAAAGGTAAATTCTATTACAACTTAGTACATCTTTTGTATGTTACACAAATCAACAAAAATAAGGTTCAATTCATGCCAGTGGTATTTAGCAGGAATATTGATCAATGCATATTGGCAGAATTATCATAAGAACGTCTTACCAGTTTTATTTGGATAACACTCAACACAGCGTGTTTGAGAATTCAGAAAAGACTTCCTTTGCTGAGGCTCAGACATATTACGCAAATCATAAACATTCACATGCTCTCCTGCTGTTGCAACAACCAACTTATGTCCTGCTAATGAAAGTGCGTATACACGTTCAGGTTGGGTGTGTGTCCCAATAAGTGTATATTGTGGCCCAGTCGCACCTCTTTGATCCCAACACTTTATAGTCCTATCCCAGCTTCCAGTGATTACTTGACCTGGCATAAGACAGGACACAAATATATTATGGTTAATGTTATTATTAAGAGTGAAAAATTATCTGTTTATTAATGAATTATAGTTGTGCAGGAAATGCCAGAGCCATTGTACGTGCGATGCTGTAACCAATATGCTTGATTTTCTTAATTTGTCATACATACTATAAGTCTCTAGGCTGTCTGGTAGGGTGAAATTTTCACCTGACCTATTCGGTTAAGACTCTCATCTAGTAATCCACATGAGTTCACAACCAGATGACAATAGTATAAGACATCAGGTTATCTACTACAGGTATTTTGGGTCAGAGACAATAATACCGTAGATGCTAGTCGCATAAATGTAGAGATCACATGATTTGGATGTTTCTAGAGATGTAGGACTTGTAAACTGAATATATATTTGACACAACAAAGGACAAACGTGGTAAACTTCAAACGTTAACTGCCCACATTACGACTTCTGAATACTTAAGGCCATATTTCACCACTGTCTACTATAGTCTTCATCAGCATCGCATGTCTATTGATAAAGCCAAGACCCACCAGGTAGCTATCCTCCTAGATTATCTAGTGTTCATTCAACAGATATCATCTAGGCTCTTTCAGTTTCTCATATTGGGATTTAGGAACAACTATTGAATGATGGCAGATGAACAATACAGAGAACTAAGCATAAAAACAGAAGATGGATATCATAAGTAAGTTCATGGAGTGGATATTTATTAAATACTCTATCTTAAAACATAAGTAAAATATACCCAAAAATCAGTATTGTTGCACGGTAACAGAAGATGGCTGTATTTTATATGAAGCTTATTATGATAGTTCCAAACCAACACCCGAAAGAAATAAAGCATGAACTCGCTTAGCATAGAGATCCATTGAACTGTTACAATTTGGGGGTCAGATTGACAGGGTTCTTAACTTAATTAACCCATCTCTAGCAACACGAAACATGGTTTTGATGATAAATTAGCAATGTTCTTCAGAAACTGAAGTTTGACAACACAATAGCACTGTTCAGCAAAAGCGAACAGGCAAAAGTAATTAAGCAAGTACCTGTAGTATCGGAGTACTCCACACAGCGAACTGGACCATCATGGGTTCCCAAGCGATAACTAGTTTTGGAACTAAAGGACAGCCTGCATTATATGTAGTACAACAAAACAGATCCGAAACATACAGGTCATCAGTTGAGCTTCGATTTGTACGAATGATCTGACCGAACAGAAATTTAAATTCAGTTAACCGTGCTGAATAAATATGCTATTGCCTATGCTGCGGGCATTTGGGTCTGAAATCCACTAAAATCATGTCCCACCCTACTTCCTACGGACCCATTTTAACATCAGAAATGCACTTCTGAAATCCAAAGCTCCGCCTCTGTTCGGGGCTATGGTGCGAAACTGTACCGCGTCCCCAACCACTCATTCAGAATCGCTAAGCAAAATACCAATCAGACGGGACGGGAAGATGAATAGGTGATCCCTATCACCTCACCTCCGCACGACGTGGTCGCTGGAGGCGCTGAACGCCGAGGAGTCGTTATCGTGGAAGCAGCAGTCCAGCACGGGCCTCTTGTGCGGGAACGCCCCCACCAGCGCGTCGGTGGCGGCATCGACGTCCAGGAGCCGCACCGCCTGGAAGGAGCGAACGCGCACGCACAGCCAAGCCCGCGCAGGCACAGAACCCAACGGATCAAACCGAGCAGCTAGGGTTTCGTTTCCTCGGGGAAGTGGGAGGCGCGCGAGGCTTGTGAACTAACCTTCTCCCATGAGGAGACGAGGAGGCGGTTGCTGTGCTTCGAGAAGCGGAGGTTGGAGACGCCGTCCCTCGGCGGGTGCCCCAGCTCCCTGCCCAACCCGATGCGGCCGCCGCCAGCGTCGACCGGCGGCTGGCCGGTGGCGGGCGCGCTCATGGCGGGGTCAGGAGGAGGAGGAGGCGGCGGTGGCGATTCTGGGTAGCTTTGGGTGCTGGGGTTTGCGGTAGGTAGGATGCGGTGGGGACCGAAATTTTGAACCCGCGACGAACGAGCCGTGGAGCAGAGCGCGGGGTTTATAGAGGAAACGGTTTCGGGGAGGAATGCCAGTTTCGTGGAGGAACCCCCGACCCGCCGTCGTATGGGCTAGATTTAGCATTAGCTGGGCTTTGGATTTGGGCTGGCTGTATGGTCCGAATCGGCGGCTTATATGGTGAATTCAGCGAAATCACTGTACGTGCGGTAGAAAAATTACCCCAATCTGTTGAGATATGGTATGCGACAATTGAATATTTGAAACAAGAAATGAATTTTAATTTTGGGATAATGGATCCTTCTAATCCAGTCTATATGTGAAGTTAAAGAAATGTTCATTTTTTCAACCGCAGATAGAATACCCGGATCATGTCATTAGCAGGCAAAAGGGTGGCTACAGACTAAAAGAAAATCCTGCGCAGTGAAAGAGTGGTCTACTTCCAAATCAAGCACATTAGATTTTGGGCTTAGCAGGACATGCATTTCATTCCCAGGAGATTAGCTCATTTGACTGCTCAAAGACTTAAAACACTTGAGCGATAGCGAAGCCAAGCCGCCGCCTATAGGCGAAGGGACGAAAGACCACTAGGCCTGATGGGAAAAAGTATGACAACCTCGGTTTGGTTAAGGTTATGAAATTACAGAGTTGTTTTCCTAAGTAGAGAAAAATTCACTGTAGGTCACAAAACTTGAGCTAGCTGACACTTAAGTACCACTACTTCAAAATACCCGAAATACAGTCCATGTACTTGCGCAGGGGGTTCACTTTGGTCGGTATATACGAATTGAGCTACGTATTTGCTGACTTGGCCGAGTCAGCCGTTGCCAGCTGTGCTTTGACTGCCACTTGTGCAGCACCTGTCCACTTGTGCGTTAATAGTAGATGGCTGGAGGTTTTTTTTGCAAATGCGCGCACCACCTGGTCGGACCGCACCCACCTGGTCATTAAACGTCCCGCACCTGGTCGGACTGCCGACTCGTCCTGGTTGACTGGCTGGGAGGAGCCGAAGGTGATTGTCCTCTCTGACGACGAGCCGGAGGCCAAGGTGGCGGCGCCCGTCGTCCCCGAGCAGGAGGTCCAGATGGTGGTGCCCGTCGCCAGGGAGGGTGACAAGCACCACCCCATTGACGTCGAGCTTCTTCCAGATGTTCCTGACATCGTCAAGCAGGAGGTGGAGGTGGTGTTGGCCCTTCAAGCACAGGTGGACGTCGCAGCGCAGCAAGAAAGGAAGAAGAAGAGGAAGGTGGCAGCTGACATGGAGGTTCGCCGCTCGGAGCGCCTCCAGAAGTTGAAGAACTGAAGATGATGCAGTTGCAGTAGAAGGCATGAAGAAGATGCAGTTGCAGTAGTTAGGTATGCTGAAATATACAGATTTTCAGCATATAAGTTATAAAATATTAGTTTGTTAGGTGTGCTTGTATATTAAGCACATAAGTTATTTGTAATTTTTGTCTGTTGAACTCTGTTGAATCGGCTGTTGATGCTATATAAGTGTTGAACTGGCTGTGATGCTATATATGTGTTGAACTGTGTTGATGCAAAAGTGGCAGTAATCCAAAAGTGTTTTGTTGGTATGTAATGGTGTTGATGCAGTCTTGTTGCTATATAAGGCAACAATCCAAAAATCTCTTGTTGCTATATAAGGCAATAATTCCAAAAGAAGTAGCTGCTAAGGTTTTGAATCTTAGCTGAATTTTTGTCTGAATCTTTAAGACAACTGTTAAGATTCAGTTAACTATAATCAAATCAGTTAGCTTTTCAAACTCAATTCAGACAACTGTAAAAAAATCTGTTAGCTTTTCAAACTCAATTCAGATATCTTTGCAAACTAAATTCGGTCAACTATAAAAATTTAGATAACTCTGAATTCATGAACTGTAAAAATTCAGTTAAGTAGTTTGGAGGGGAGTGGAAATATACTAAGTAGGTTGTCAAGTAACACTTGAGCAAAGCACCGTTCCTATCACACTGGCATTGCACCCTGTTTATCACACCATAGGTCCTGGGTTCGACACCAGGCCAACCTTTTTTGTTTTAATTTTTTAATTTTATGCAGTTAATTATCTATACTCCAACAGTGAATAAATCAATGAACTCCAACTGAATAATAAAGCAACTGAACTCCAACAGTTTTCATTTGAGTTCTCTTTTCGTTTTGAACTCCAACAGTTTAACTTTTGAATGGCAGTATGAAGCCACTGAATCTTCACATTTCCAACAGTTCAAAGAGTCTCATTGTAGTTTTTGCCAAAATATTATAAGTGCAAAAAGCATTGAATCATCCCAACTCCAACAGTTTCAAAGAGTCTCATTCAAGTTTTTGGCCAAAAAATTACAAGTGCAAAAGCACTGAATCATCTAAACTCATCAAACATGTTCACTCTCTTCGGCTTCTTTGGCACATGTCCACTTGGTCCTGCCTGCTTCCTCTGCTCAGCTCTTAATCTATTGGCCTCTTCTTGCTGTATCTTCTTTGCTTCTTGATCTTCTTTTCTCTTTAGTGTTGCCATAGTTCTCTTTGCTTCTTGATCTTCTTTTCTCTTCAGTGCTGCCTCTGCTTTAGCTGCCATTGCTTCAAGGGCTCTGGCCTCCTTCTCTTCTTGCAATGCAGCTTTTCTTGCTGCTGCAGCTTCCTTCCTTGCTGCAGATTCCAAAGCTTTCTTCTCTTGTGCTGCTCTTCTTCTTCTTTGTGAAGACTCTGCTTTCCTCCTTGCAATTTCTTGCCTTTTTGCTTCTGCCTCCTCTGCTTTCTTCTCTGCCATCTCATTCATGGCCTCAAGTGTTGCATCTCTCCTGGCTGCCATCTGTCTTTCTTTGTCTCTCTTCATCTGCAGCAACTTCATGGTCAGGTTGCCTTCATTTGTAGCTGTTGTTGTCTGTGCTGCATTGTGAGAACTGGCTGCATTTGAGATGAATGAGGAATCTGGCAAAATGATTTCAGGTTCTTCTCTAGGAACAGGTCTGGATTGTTGCATCCTATGAAGCATTGTAAATCCAAAGTCCTGCACCTGTACAAAACAAACATCACATGAAAACATCAGTACAACAAAAATGACTGGACAAAAGAGGTCAAAATTAAGGGACAAAAGTGGAGAATTTGCTTGAAAAACAACTGGTGCATCTGCTCCATCATCTTGTGTGACAATGACCTCATCATGTGTATCATGGCCATCAACATGGGCCTCCTCATGTGTAACTTGGCCATCAACATGGGCCTCCTCATGTGTAACTTGGCCATCAACATGGACCTCCTCCTGTGTAAGTTGACCATCCTCTTGTGTGACCTGAACCTCCTCCTGTGTACCTTGGCCATCATCTTGTTGTGCCAAAACAATTTCATCATCTGACACATCATCAGGAATGGCCCTTGGACCCCTTCTTGTTGTTCTCTCTGCTAGATTTGGCAAAATGCCAGCCTTTTTGAGATTACATCCTTTGATGTTGTGGCCTGTTTCATGGCAGTATGAGCATGTTATTGTGATTCCATGTCTGCTCATCACCTTGGTTCCATCTTTCTTTTCAATCTCATAAGGTTGCTTTCTCCTACTTTTGTTTGAAGGCCTCCCTACTTTTTTTTCAAAGACAGGTGGCTTGATTTCACAGCCATTCATCTTCTGCCACTCACTCCTATCTCTGCAAGGCTTGATAATGGGTTTGTATGCTAGCTTGAATGCTTCTATACTGTAACAGGAGTGCACCAAACTCTCAGGATCAATCCTCTCATGCCTGCAGCATGCAATTGCATGGTGGCATGGAACTCCACTAAGATCCCACCTTTTGCATGTACAACTTTCTTCCTTCAGGTCAACAATGTATGTCCTGTTCCTGTTGTCAACCTGAAAGATGCCATCACCAGCCCCTGAAACCATGCATGTAGCTGACAGCTCTATATTCTTCTCAATTCTTTTCCTAATTTTTGGGCATATTGAACCAGGCCAGGTCTCTGCCTCTTTTCTTTTGTTGTAGAACCTGACCATGAGCTGTGTTTTGATCTTGTCAATCATTGATCTGAGATGCATCTCCCTAGCCTCAAGAATATATTTGTTGAAAACCTCACAGTTGTTGTTCATAAGGATATCACACTTGACCAATTCTCTTTGGAAGCCCCTAACCCAAGTGTTGGGTGGTAGCTGCTCAAGCCACTTGTATGCTTCTAGGCTTATGACCTTCATTTCCTTCATGCTTGCAGCCCACAGTTCTGGTGTTGTGCTCCTTGCACACTTCCATAGCTGGTTTTTAAGAACATCTCCTTTGTGTGTTTGCTGAAAATTCTGCCATATATGCCTAACACAGTGTCTGTGCTCTGCATCAGGAAAGTGCTGCCTCACTCCCTTGATCAGGCCCTTTTGCCTGTCTGACATTATAGTCCATGGGTCTGTGTTTACAATTCCCAAGTCACTCTTCAGATTTGACAGAAACCATTTCCATGTGTCAGTGTTCTCTACCTCAACAACTGCAAAAGCTAGAGGGTAAATGCAGTCATTAGGATCCATGCCAACAGCACACAGCATAACACCTCCATACTTTGTCTTCAGGTGGCATCCATCCAAACAAATGACAGGCCTAAAAGCTTGCATGAAACCCCTTTGCAGGCATCCAGAGAGAAATAACAACTTGCAAATATGCCATTACTGACACCCACATAGAAAGAACTCCCTGGGTTTGATCTTCTGAATTCTTGTGCATAATCCCATATGCTGTTGTACTGCTCCAACTCATCTCCTTCAATAACTTTCTTCACTAACCTCTTAGCCCTTCTAAGCTTGCTTCTTGTTGCTGTCATGTTCCAATCTTTCTGAACCACCCTTGCAAAAAATTTCATGTTCATGTTTTCATCTGCTATGAAAGAATCAAGATATTTTCCAGCCATAAAAGGAGCAGTGAATGACTTAACACACCATTT